TAAATAAAAATTTCCCTAGAAGATAAATATATCAATAAACATAATATTATTAATAGTTAAATAAATGGCCAATAAATAAATTCAAAATTTACCAATGAAAACCATGAGAATAAAAGGTTAAATGCTTGATATATAATTTGGATGAGGAAAAATAATTTACGCCAATATGAATGGTTACTCCTCAATATTTTTTTAAAATTAAAAACGGCATAAAGACTGGCAAAGAAAGATCCGTTTAGCCAGCGTCTACGCTGTGAAACGAATTCGGATATTCCTTCAGGTACATCAGTTTCAGCCCAAGAAGATTTATTATAATATAATAACCAATCTTGATCACGCTTTGTAAACAATTCAAAACAAAGAATACGATCTTCAGCAAGATACATATTAGCAGCAAAGATACATTTGATGCACCTATAGGCGCATTTAATGCGACTATATGTTCTTCTAAAGAAACAAGATGGATTGTCAGTGTTTGGCACGATATCGTCTATTTGATATTTTTCACCTTTGAAATAAGAAACCAGAGGACCTTCATCATTATTATTAGCATCCTTAGTATTCTTAAGAGATGCATATCGATATGCAGAAAAGGCACCAGGTAAAACAGTAATGTATCCAAGGACATGTTCGAGCGGTTTATCTAGAATATTGGATATTTTATATTCAAAATACTGAGCACTCACAATTGGTTTTATCAACTTGTGCCAAGCACGACCTTTCATGACAACTATTTCACCACAGGCACCAGCGACTTTTGGATGTGAATTGAATGTTTCCCACAAATTATAAATAGAATTTGTTCCTTTTAGGAAAATTTACAAAATATATTTCGAGCAGATATTAGAACTCAATATATAACCATGATTAGTAACAATCTATGGATGCGAGTAACTAACCTGGTTTGGTACCAACGTCAATAAGAATGCATATTTTAGGGTCAAGTACTGGGCTAAATGCGTTAAATATCCAACGATGAGAATTGATTTTTCTTGCGTTCTTTTCTTTAAGACAAAAGAGTACTTGAATTGGGATATTGTCGTTATCGAACACTGGGGTTGGAACATTATTAACGTTTTTAAATCGAACCCGAGCTGTATATTCAAAAATATGAGCTTCAACTTTGCGATCAATTATACTTTCGGCAGTTCCTTCTCGATAAACACCAATTTTGGACAAATAATTTAAAGAGCTTTTATTAATCTTTTTACGACCATCGGAAATTATGCATACAACGACCTTTTTCCATCCCTCATTTTTATTCTTATGAATTTACATTGAAGATATTAGTAGTTAGATTTTAAATTTAAAAGCCTCATAGAATAGTGAGAATCTACCCAAATATTGTTTTCTTGAGAACAAAGAGAATTAATATTTTCCACGATCCCGTTAAAAGTTTGATTCAATTGATTTTCATCTTCCTATTGGAGACATAATATTTGTATCAGATAGTAATTTCATTATAACACAACCGAAAAATTAATTTATAAGTTTCATATTCTTACATTATACATAGTTACCGCAATAAATAATTCTGTTTCTCTTCGAAATTCAGCTTGACGAAGTGTAAACGAATTACTCATAAAATCATCTGGCTTGCTTGTGCAGGCTGTATACCTCATATGCGTAAATTCATTTAAATCATTTGAATCAAAATTTTTTGTTATTTCTTCAGGTACGGGATAGTCTTTAACAATATTTCCTTCCGTTAAATTAGAAAACTTTTGTAGCCATTTACGCAAATTTACCCCTCTCGTTGTTCCTTCGGTTGAGAGTCCTCCGTTACTCGACATGAAAACAATGGATGAGAGTAAACAAAAGTTGTATAATTAGCTGCAAAAAACTTTATTCCAAAGGCTCTTATTAATGGAATTAACCAGAGTTATCCTATTAACTGTCTGGTCAGTCCTACT